GTTATAACTTATTTCTAAATTAAACATATTATGTATTACGGTTAATATCTTTTATAGAAAATAAATATAGTACTTTGGTCAAAAAATTAAAATACCTTTACAATCCTTACTTCTCTAAAACACTCTAGTGTTAGTATCTGAAATTTTTATATATCAAATTCAAACTAAAATAATTGAACATATAAAAATTACAAATCTATATCAATACTGATATCTAAATTATAACAATCTAATTCTAAACTAATACAAATCTAGCTAATATGTCTAAAGCTTTAGTTCTAACCAAAGTTCTAAATATCAACACAATACTTTAACTAATAAAATAGTTACTTATCTGATCTATCTTTTCTACATTCTCTTGAGTAACCAAACTTGCAACATAATAGAGTATCTGATTCATTTCATCACGATGCATCTTCAACAAAGAAGCTATAAGGTACTTTTGAAGACATTTATCAACTTTAGAAAATAGAAAATTTACATTATGCTAATTTCATACAGAAGGTATTGATAGTTTCCAAAACTAGTATTCATTTTCTTTATTTTGTAGATCAAGGAGTTTGTGAATTTCACCCATAAGCTCACATAATGAAATATTTGAATTGTATAACAAATGTTTTAAACATCCATTTACAGATTCTATACGAGAAGTTGCTATAATGCCGCTAGTAAACTTAAAGCTAGTAAAGCTATATGCCCAATATGTCTTCGATTTATAAAGAAACTCTAAGTAATTTCAAGTATTAGAGTAATCTTCTTTAAGCTTTTCATATCTTTTTTGGAAATTATCTTCAACTAGACTATAACAACAAAGATAAAAACTATCTAAAAACTTTTGATAATCATCACCTAAAACTTTTCTAAGATTTTTATGTAAGTTTTGAGTAATATAATAAGCATAGTAAATAGGGTAAGTAAACGGAAATATTTGATGAACAGCAGAATCTACTGCTAGATCAGCGTCAGTAAGAATAATACCTAAATTAATAATAATAAAAAAACAAACTAGTTATAAATAGTTGATTAATTAATTATAAAATTTTATTATAAACTTATACTTGTTGGCAAAACTATAAGTTCTCAAAATTCTATCTAATTCCAAATATAATAAAGTTGTCCAAATATACTTAATGATTGATTAGTAGGGATTGGAATCATCTAACATATAAAATTTTTTTTGTAGTATCAGACCAAATTATGTTGATCAAGAGCTAGAGTTATCTTAATGCTAGCTGAATAAAATGATTAATACAGTTAAACGATTAAATAGTGAAAAAAAATTTAGGCAATTCTAATCCCTATCGATTAATTGTAACTAAAATTGGCAATTAATCAATTTAAAAATTTTTTACTAATTTAAACACTAACTTGGATGTACACTAGTTGCTTCTAATAGCTTGCTAAATATCTAGATATGGGACTCAAGGCTTTCATCAACTAAAAGACCTTGAGCAAGCAAAACATTATGATGATCATTGTTAAATCTAATGAATAATTACAAAGCTATCTCATATCTGTTAGTTTTGTGAGTTATATCATTAAGTACACAATCTGAATATTTAACCCAGTTCTCAATTTGCATAGGTGTCATCCAAAACAAGTAGGTCAACATATTGTCATCATCTCACCTACGCACTACAAACTACTGAGAATCCTGCTCTTTCTGGCAATCAAGCCAATTTGAAACTTGAGCTACATCATTTGATAATGATTTATAGGTAGGATGAAATTTGTTGATAGCTGCATAGAGATCTTTCAAATAAATAGAGTGTAAGGGATATTTGTTTTCAAGGAATTTTCTTTGAGCAGTCACACCAAACTTGCATAATACTGTCAAAAATTTAATATCTTCCAATATATCATTTGTAAATTTTTTTGAATTCTCAAGTTTAATTATCAACTTATCTAATATATGATTATGTTAATCTACAACCTTGTTAATAAATACTAGAACTTCAGGATTATTAGATTTGGGACAAGAAGCATTAACTAAAAAGGGATATTCTGTCTTCTTTGAACCAGTATCTTTATTTGAATTTGAATCATAATTCTGACTATATATACAAATAAATGCTCATCATCAAACTACACTATTTTCTTGATACACCTGATCTTTAATCACACGAAAACCTTGTTTTTTAGCTCACTTCTGCAAAAATGATTCACAACTATCCCAATTTGGAAATGTTTTTCTTGCATTCAAAGTACTATATTTATTTTCTATAAAAGATATTAACCGTAATACATAATATGTTTAATTTAGAAATAAGTTATAAC